AGCAGGAATCCTGGGGGGCAAAGATCCTCTCCCTGGCACTGGATGAGGGGCCTGGAGGCTATTTAAAAACCCTGCCCTCAGGAAGCTGGGGCAAAACGTTTCCACCCCAATGGCCGGGAAGGATCCTTTTAAGAGATAAAAATTGACATTAATCAAAAAGTATTCTTTGTGGAAAAGTTGTTGATCATTTAATTGGAACAAACCTATAATCAACAAAGAAATCAAACCTTACAAGGAAGCTATGAAATTAAAAGGAATGGAATGCATTTTTATTCACAAATTTAAGAAATAAACCTAGTTTTTTGAAAAGAAAGTTACTCTTAACTAGTTACAATTAAAGAGGGTTTAGAAGCATCAGAATGCTAAGATGAAATTTCTAAATCTACATTTGACAGAATATTTACAGAATTCATCTCTACATGAGCTAAAGATACCCAGAAAATAGCCACGATAGGATCTGGGATTTGTGCTGCAGCAGAAGGAGTGATTTACTTTAGGTGTATCAGTAAGAGGAGCTTAAAATGAGGAAAGCTTCTATACCGTACAGTAATTACACATGTTTTTGAAATAGTGGTAAGAAAAACAACATACACATTTCTTAATTTGCTTCACTTTTCTATTAGGGACAAGACATGAGAGTTTGCAAAGGTAGAACCACATGCTTTTTCATTTTTAAGAAGGCTATTGAGAAAAAAAAAAAAAAAAAAAAAAAAAGTAAACTACTTGGATGCTTATCCATAAAATAATATAATGAATCATAGCATAAAAGAATATCAGAGCTGAAAAGGACTTTAGAGATCATCCAGTCAAAAAAATCCATGTTTTACAGACCAGCAAACTGAGTGGGGGAAGTGATATCACATAGCTGGTGGACTCCCAGTACAAAGTCTTTCCACTATAGATTAAAAATAAATGAGTCATTTCCTATATGGGAGATTGAGATCCCCTGAATACGAGTTAGAAACATAGCACTTTGGAATAGTGGCATTACATTTTGGTGTCTCAATGACCTGAAAGATACTAAAATCATTCAGAAGAAAATGTAATATACATGCAATATTAGTGCATGGGCAGCACTGGTAATTGATATAGTATATCTAAGTTTAAATCACAATAATACCCTAAAAGCAAGTTACACTGACAGTTGTAAGAAATGCATCTCATTCGAGACCTCTGAAACCCCCATCAGGCACAGCAGTTTTCATATGTAGAGACCCGGTTCAAATTTAGCAAGTCCTGTATTTTTGAAAAGACTCTGCTCTGTTCTTTGACACAAATTTTGCACCTAAAATAAGTTAAGATTTGATTTTTCTTTGAACTTTGACCAGGACTAAAGGGATGTGGTATACCATACTGTCTATATCTTGCTTCTATGGAGAAAGTTGTTGCTAAAGAAAAAGCATTTATTAGATCTTTAGAGATGTTTTTATGAGAGAGCAAAGTTACAATGAATGTTTTCATGGGTAAGGCCTATATATTGTGCACTGGATTAAAGAAAGCATAGAAAGAGAGTCTTATACTGTGAACAAACTGGTTTTGTTGTGTATTTTACGGGGCTTTAGTAAAATGGTCCAGCAGAGCTGGAGTCCCTTAAACATTCAGAGGTGTGGCAAAAATGCCAAATGTAAGCCAGAAAGTGCTCTGAGGTAACTTTCCATGAACAGTGAAATTAATTACTCTTTTGTTACTACATGGGATATTTATCACCGAGCATAAAGTTAACATAAGCCTCTGTGCGGTGTTGCCCACACAAGGCATTTCTCGCACTGCAATGTTTCATCATCATCTGCGAAAACATTCATTAATGTAAGGAGCTTCACTGAATACCACGTGGAGATAATTATATATTTATAAAGCATTCTTATTTAAAGTTACAAAAGAAATGGGGGTTTTACAACAGGGAAAATAATTACAAGAAATTCAGATTTTATTACATGCTGTGAAAAACAAAAATGATCCAATTTTAGCTGTGGATTTATTGAAGTCAAATAATCAGAAGCCTGGTTCAAGAACACTAGATCATAAAGAAAAAGAATATCATCGTCATGAAAAAGAAAGTAAAAGAGACATAAATGTAATTATCTTAAAGGAAATCTGAAGGAAAACAAAAGCATGTAGAACAGTGACTCTAGATAATGTTTATCTGCTTCACATTTAGAGCTTTTTATCTGAGTTTTTGCTATTTTTGCCAACATTATTCAAAACTGTTAACTTAGAAAAGATGTCCATTATTTTAACTCCTTGAAAGAAACTAAATACAAATATTATTTTATTGCTACAATTACACTGATTACTACTTTAGTTGTTGTGACGGCCTGTCATCTTTAATAGTAGCTTTCATTTTCCTAAACTTGCTGCACCATTCATAATGGCTTTGTTATGTTTCTTTACTGTGGGTTAAAAGGTCTTTCATTTATTGTGGCATCTCTTTCTTAAGTAACTGTCATTTTTTATATCTGAAACAAAGAGAAAAGGTGGTGCGCATGAATATATATTCCATTGAGATATCACATTGTGTGATAATAACGCCTTGTCAGTTTTCTTCTTAAGGTCAGCCATGTCAATAGAGATTGCAGGAAACACTACAGCTCTACATTTTCACAGTTCAATCAGGAAAACTGAAGTTATTCTTTGTTATAATTCCCTTCTCTCTTAATTCGCAAGAAATTAAGTTCACAAACCTTTTGGAATTTGATATGAAATAATTTTAGTCTGATTTGCTCTATTTCTTAAGTTGCTGACCCCATCTGACTGGGTCTTTTTAAAGTAATGGTGGAATTTATTAATCAATTACATTGTAGCTGAATAATAAACAACGTCTACTATCTATACCAGGAGAAATATAAATTTCCACGAGTATTTTGATTTTAGTTACTTTCAATAGCCTAAGTATTTGTTAATACAAATTAGATTTTTATGTGATGAGAGTATTCCTCTAGCCATTACAAGTTTGAAATGTAAAATGTATCACTTCATACATGCTTTTCTAAATCTCAAATTCTTGAGTTTCTAATTTGTTAGTGATCTTGAGTTGTGGGTTAAAGAGAGACCCACATGTGACTTTAGGATTATACTGTCTGTAATACAGCGTTACCAGATCACTAGGTGTTCTGTATTTTTACTTGCTAAACCTGGTAACCCGACTCTAATATAATTTCAAACACTTATGGATATCAGATGGATAAAAGACACTATTAACTACTGGTATAAGGTAAGATGAACATAAGTCACTGGCTGCAGGGGTTGATGATTTATGTCTTTTATGAACTCAGTGGTTCTCAATGCATTTAGGGAGCCTTGCACATTATGACTGTGGGAATACATCACTGGTGTTTAGTGGGTGGGGGTCAGGATGCATGCTGAAGGCATTGCAGTAAGTGGTATCCTGCCTGCACAAATGGGAATTCTCTCTCAATTCTCTCTCAATTCTTTCCCACTGAAAAACACTGTCCGAGCATAAAGAATCCTAAAAAAATGGTTGCTAATAAATAGGTCATATAATGAGGTAAAGAAACAGTGTGAAGAAGTTGGTGCAGCCTGTATTCTGACATTAATTAATGGAGGACTGATCACTCAGATCATCGGAGAATAATCTTGCCTGTAGAGTTAGCAGTTTTCAAAGAATTATAATAAAATACATTTAGCACAAACTCAATGAAAAACAATCCCATTTTTCATTTGATATTGCAGCAATCTCTCTGAAATAACTTTATATTAGAAATTAGATATCATTAAGAATTTGTGTAAAAGATAACAAACTATGACCTTAAACTTTTTGTGCCTCAACTTTCTCCTCTGTGAAATGAAAATAACTGACCCTACCTAACGGGGCTGTTTGTGAGGTTTAAATGTGAGTAAATTATCATAAATATAAGACAATACTATTAGCCCTAATGTTTTTAAAAAAGAAACCTCTTTAGGTGGGAAACAGAAATAAAGATTAATTAAATTATCTAATGAAGAACTACCCCTCCCCCACATACATACACATATCCCCAATAGAACAAATCCTTTTTTCGAAGATTACATATCAATAATTTAATTTTGATGCCAAAAAGTTTAACAAGGGCAGTATCCCTATAACATGAACTTTTGAGATTAGACTCCTTCAAATTGTTTCCATTAGGCTGTATTTTTGCAGATAACCATTTGATCTACGTATAGACAAAGAATGCATAGTCTTAATTCAAGACAAACAATTTAGAATTGGAAACTTAAAATACATGTATGCAGGGCTTCCCTGGTGGCGCAGTGGTTGAGAGTCCGCCTGCCGATGCAGGGGACACGGGTTCGTGCCCCGGGCCGGAAAGATCCCACATGCCGTGGAGCGGCTGGGCCCGTGAGCCATGGCCGCTGAGCCTGTGCGTCCGGAGCCTGTGCTCCGCAGCGGGAGAGGCCCCAACAGTGAGGGGCCCGCATACCGCAAAAACAAAAAAACATGTACACATATGTGAGTATATTAAATAAATATAGAGTATGGAAACTCTGCCTTCAACTCCTAAAATGAGTTCTTTTTCAAGCACAATATGAAATGCAAGGACGATTTAATCTGATCTAAAAAGAGTAGATCACAAATAGTCAGTGGGAACAATACTAAAAACAGGGATTTACACATGACGTAACAAACCTGGCCCTAATATGTAGCATTTTATGTATATTGTGCCTATGTGTGGTGTGATTATTATTTGAAAGCAAGTATTGAAATAAACTGAACTTACAATCAGACCTAAATTGATAAAGTCTGTTATTAATATATAAATGAATATTATCTCAAAATATTTTAATTTCATTCCTTTAAATATATTTTGTGAGTGGCTTATAATAAATATAAAACTACAATAAATACAGTAAAATAGTAGATATATATGACATAAATTAGTATTCATATAGTAGAGATTCTGGGCTCAAAAATGTTTACTGATAGGGACAAGACCAAAAATTTGGAGAGCTAAGAATTGAGTATGCATACATTTAGAGTAGAGATCCTTTCTTCACCCTTAAGTATCCAGTATAGAGTTCTGTAACTGACACATAGCAGCCTCTCCATAACTGTGTGGTTTTAGTTAATGATGGTATCTCTGAGCTACAGTATGAATAATTTCAAAGTTCAGTGATAACATAGTCT